GGTTTCTTGTATAATATTATTGAATCTTTCGTTAAGCCGAATTTTATTTTAGATGTTTTAGCGTCCACACACACTACCTGCCGAGACTAGCTCTGCTATTTGTGGGTAGTGCATCATTATGCTAAGTTTCATGTCATGTCTGATTACAATAAAATACAAAAAGAAAAGAGGAAAAGAGGGCTGGTAACTAGGATTTCCAGTAAAATGATAAATGACAATACAATGGTTATTTTCACTGGCATCGTACCTTGACAGTTTTCTTGGCATGTTGATTCAGGGCCTTTCCCTGTTCAACAAAGATCTTAGCATTGGCTTTCAGAAGATCTTTTCTCTCCATTCCTTGTTTTCGTGGCATGGCTCCAACCAGAATGGCCACATCAATGTTGCTGAATGCCTCACCTGGCTCAGAAGTTGAAATTACCTCTGACAGATATAAAAAAAATTGAAACAAAATTGAACCTGCAAAATCAAACTATCTTTGGGTTTTACATGGAAAAAGAAGAGAATTTGCAGGGAGAATCTCTCGGTGCATCAGAAGTCTTTAGCAGCCTTCCTCTATGCAACCCGGCTTCAAAAGCAAAATAACCAACAGTCATTCACGGAACTAGATAATTGTATATTATCCGAGTCAAAATTTAATAGACTATTACAACTTTAATTTATAATATCGCTAGTCCCTCTTGTTTTTTTACCTTGCAATAAAGGAAAGGCACAGTCTTGCAATTCCATCACTACACCCTCCAATACAGGCATCATAGGAACAATATCCAGCAAGAGTACACTCAGTGGCTGAGGACAAGAATAAATATACCATCTATCATCCAAAGACACCAAACAAGAAATGTTGACGAACCATAACAAGTGGATCCTAATGGCTCAATTTGTTTCAAATTGGATTCATTTTCTACAGCATAACACACATCTAGCTTGTAATGTCCTTCCTTACCTGATTAGTTCCAAACACATCTCCTTTGCAAACAGAATAGAGTAGAGAGTAAGCAATCTGTCCAGCAGCACCAGTGATACAAATACGCAAAGGCTCCTAAAAAGCAAAAGTGGTTGTGCAAATTTAAGAGAAATACTACAATCTAAGGTTTTCCATTGTCGTCTCCAAAAAGTTATCAATTCCAAAACATTATCTGGCAAAGTCTTGCACATATTTGCCTCTTGCACTTGCCTGTGATTTATTGGAAGAAATACACATCTAATTTAATAATTTGGGGTGATTCAGCTTTATCATTGGTGGAGCTTTAAAGTAATTTCTTTTGCTTCAACTGGAAATGTTCAATTCAATATGATAACAATTTGTTTGACAATAATCACACAAAAAACAAAATATGCCAACCTTAACAATGAAACCGCTTAAGTTGTGGACCTTTCTAATTCCTTTGTCCAACAAGAGTGTGAGCAATGAACTATCTCTCTACACTCACACATTCATAAGGCAGAAATGTAACAGTGGAAAGGAAAAGGGGGGAACTTGTCCACCCACCCCCTTGGGTAGAGGGATCCAAAATATCATATTACCAATATTACCCATATCACCCCACCCTTCCAAACCTCAAGTGGTGCATTTATTTATACAAAGTCATTTAGTTTAAATACCAGAAAACTTTTTGTGCAGAGAGCTGGTTTTAAGGGTTTTCGGAAAGAATTAACATAATATACTTATTATTGGATCAAATTCTGTAAGCATTCTCGGAACTTCAAAGACAAAAAAAATGTACACAACTACATCCGGATTACTGCAAATTAGTAAAGTAAAGTAAAGTTTATTGACAGTGTTTCCACAGAGTGGCTCTTAATCTGTCACTAACTAAATACATTATAGGATCAACTAAAACCTATTTAATATTTACAATCATAAATTTAAAATAACTAAACATTCCAGTCTGTATACACTTAAAACTTAAACTAAATTAAAATTACTAAAGATGTGCCTTCGCCCAGTTTTTTAAGTATTTAAATAAACGCGATGTAAAAAAATGCAAATCATCACAGGTTTTCAGGTCCTTTGGTAGATTATTAAATAAAACGGCCGAGGTGTCTTGAAAGGTCCCCTTTTCTAAAGGAACCTGCAGCCTAATACAGTCTGATGAGCACAGTTCTCTACATAGAGGGACTCATTGTAAGTTCAGATAATTTATGTTGGCCACTGTTTAAAATAAAGCACTTTAAAGGTCAACTTCAGCAAATTAAAATTCCTTCTTTCTTCGACAGGAAGCCAATTTAGCTTTAAAACGTCTCCAATGTTATTAACATATCTGCCCTAAACAAAAACTTGCAGCAACAAACTCAATTTTTTGAAGGCACTTCAGCAAGTATCGCAGCAGGGGTGAAAAGACAGAGTCACAATAGTCAAGTCTTGATAACACAAGAAATTCTGCAAGTCTCTTTCTTAGGCTGAAGACTGTAAAGTGTTTCAACTTACGAAGTGTACGCAAGACTCCATAAGAGGCATTTGCCACATCCTTAAAATGATCATTCCACTTCAAATTCTCTTGAAGTTTTACTCCCAGTAACTTTGTTTCACTCACTCTTTCCAACTGGCGATTCAAGATTTCCAATTGTGTCATCTGATGTTTAAGAACATGGACTCGAGCCAGTTGATTTGTTGATAGCACCATCTGTTTGGTTTTCACCGGATTAAGGGTAAGATTTGATGTACAAGACCAGCTGGCCATGTTACTGAGGGAGTTGTTAAAGTCGGCAACATTTTGCACGAGGTTATTAACGGAGGACTGTTTGTACAGGGTGGTGTCACCAGCATATTGATACCACGAGATTGAGTCGTTGAAGTTGTCCTGCAGATCCGCAGTACAGATGTTGAATAACAATGGGCCTAAAATAGATCCTTGGGGAACACCGAACAGCAGACTTTCCAGAGTCAATTTTTTGTCGTCAATTTGCACATACTGACAGCAATCGCAGAGGTAGTTTGTCATCCAAGACAAAAAGGGTTTTGAGAAACCCATTCTGCACATCTTTTGGATGATAACAGAATACGACACGGTGTCAAATGTTTTCGAGTAATCGGCCAACACCATTAAGGTTAGTTCACCTTTTTTCATGGCCCTGATTATATCATCTCTAACGCGCAATAAGACGGTGGTGGTTGAATGGCCTTTACCGAATCCAGACATCGTTTGCTTCAAGGATTGATTAACTTCAATATAGTCAACTATTTGTTGTGCAACAAGTTTTTCAATGACTTTTGACAAGAACGGTAGTATCGAAACTGGTCTGAAATGGCTTTCATCACTTGGATTACCTATCTTGGGAATTGGACTTACGCGACCCACTTTCCATATCCTGGGAAATATTGACTTTGAAATTAAATTGTTAAGGATATTAGTAAGCGGACTGGCTATTGCTTTTGCTGCTAGCTTCAAGAATCGGGCTGGAATTAGGTCTGGTCCAGTAGAACAGTCTGCATGGAGTGTCTTTAAGGCTTGGAAAACTTCATGGTAGGTGATGGGACAAAGGTTAAAAGTTAATCTGTCATCCTCATGCGGTGGTAGGTTCTTTATACCTCCAAGCAAATCTTTAAAAGGGATTGGTGGATTATTTCCTGTGAGAGTTCTTTCTGCAGTTCCCACAAAGAATTTATTTAAAGAGTCAGGGTCAAATCAAATTGGGTTTTGACTTGGTTTAAGTATCTGATGAATGACGTTCCAGATTTCTTTTGGCTTTTTTGGCGATAATGCTTTTTTCACAAACTGTTCGCGTGCAACACAAATGGCTCTTTTCAATTTGTTTCTCCCATTTTGAAATGCATCCCACGCTGCTGCAGTGAGTGTCCGATGGGCAGCCTTCCTCAGCTTAGCCCTATTGGCTTGAGGCAATTGAATCTCCTCAGTTTTCATCCAAGGGGGTGGTGGTCACGGAAGAAGAATGCGACATAGTGGAGTGTGCCTATCAATATGCTCAACAAGTATAAAATTTAGTAAATCAAGCTGACAGTCCCGATCATCAGACAAATAAATTAATGAAAAGGGAGCCTGATCCAAATCAGTTACAAAAGCCTGTGCATCAAAGTTTTTCATGTAGCATATGAATTTATATCTTGGGTTGAAACATTCCACCCTGACATTGGCACAGGCAAAGATACCATCATGGTCACTGATAATCGAACAAGGAAGTATGTCAGTGTGCGTGATCCTGTTAGGACAATTGGTTACAATGTGATCTATCAACGACCTGGAATGCCTTGATACTCTGGTCGGCTCTTGTACCATTTGCTGCAAATAGAAAACTTCGAGTAGCTCATTATACTGCCTTGTGGTAGCACAATCTCGGTTCAGTAAATCAATGTTCATGTCACTGGTTAGCATTAACAGGCCATCCCAGTTATTAATATGGCTGAGCATATCTTCCACGTTGTTTAACCATTCTTGTGTACTCAGAACTCTAGTTGAACAATACATGGCCCCTATAAACACCTTGCTATGTCTATTTCTTCCTGGTATCTCAATCCATAAATGTTTGAGATCAGGGTGTAAGTTTTCTAGATCTTTTAACCATGAAAATTTGATATTCTCATCGATACACATGCCGACATCTCCACCTTTCATTTTTTCATGATTACGATTTTCCATCTGGTAGCCCTGGATTTTAACATATTCGAGTAGCTCCGGGTTATTTAATTAAGGTTATTTAATTAATTATATAATTAATTTAATTAAGGGAGTAATGTTGATGTTTGACCCCACAGACAACGCCTTGAAAATACTTTAAAAATTAATGGCTTTTAGGTTTAAACTAAAATATTTTGCAAATACCTTTTAAATGGTAAGGTATATGCAGCCTGGGTGAGGGGAAGGCCTTGGGTCAATTTTTGCTGGGTACACGCCGCTTGCCTCTCCCAACCCCGGCCAACCGCCATTAGTCTACTCTGTGGCCAGTTATAGACCCTATCTCAGTCACTTTTGGTAATATGGTAAAATACTTTAATCTACAAATCTTCTCACTTTTAAATCCTTACTCACGAGAATTGTATTACCCCCAAAATCCTGAAGAATGTACGACCCCCTTGTAGTAACTGTTGTAAAATGTAACCCCCAAAGACTAAGAAAGAAGGCTCTGTGGCAGTTTATTTAGAAATTAACCCTCAGGACTTGAGGTAAAGTGCTTATTTTGTAGAAAATACATCTAATCTTGAAGGGATAAAGTAAGAGAAAAAGTTCAAAGTCGGAGTTAAGAAATAATATATTCTAATCGAGGGGCCAGGCTACAGATTCGCAAAAGAATAGGTCAAACTGTCGGATTACGGTAAAACTACGGCCAGTTCTGGCCTGATAAGTGAGGAATAAGGTAAGAAGTGTGCGTACGATGCTAAAATTTCTGTATACTTACCATGGCGCCAAAGTTAAGCTCCACTACGAGAACAGGCGTTAAGATTCGAACCAAACGTGCCACGCAACACGACTGCACGAGTATGAACGAGGGCGGGTGGAACTGTGGGTACTAAGCGTGACTTGTCTGTCACGATAGAATCACATGAAAGTCACAACTATCAAACAAGGACATAAGACTTCTCCGCTCGCTCTTTCAATGACATCAGCATGTGATCCCGATATATCGAAACTTTTAGTACAAAGGGACGTTGGCGGCAGCAGAGGAAGTTGGTCTGGGAGTCGGAGTAACCCAGTTTACTCAAATTTCTTAACTTGTCACGTAACTTCAAAGTACAATCATCATTTTGTATGGCGAGAGGGGGCTAGGTCGGGACACTCTCAACACACACCATGCATCTACTATGTATCTCGCTCCATATCGATGGTATTTTTCTCCCTCTCCCGACAGGAATACATAATGAAAGGGAACAATGGTCGTGTTTTAGCGTTCATAGCGAAAAGCTCGTTCCAAAAAGTAGAAAATCATTATCTGTTTTTGCGGTTCCTCTGACATGCTCAAGAAACCAAACCTTGGGGATGGGAGGTGGGGGACAGTTGTTCTCACTTCTGCTAAAAAGCTGAGTCAAGCTCTTTTATTTACATATCAATGGGATCATTCGAGCAGATCTGAGTACTTAATAATGGAACAGCCCCAATATCGGCGAGCCTTTGACTTAAACAAAAATCCTGACTTAAAAATCTTCACATGAAGAATGCCGGCTATCTCTATATGGTCTGGCTACAGCTATGCTGACGACATTTTTCGGACTGGGGAGGTCGAGAGAGGGTTGGCACTAGACTCTATTTGAACCCAAGCACAAGTCTTTCTTTAAGCTTATTCATCTTTCAATGTTTATTCATTCACTTATTATTCAACTATATTTACCACGACGATATCATAGCTCAGGAACTCTTTGGAGCTTATCAGATAGTAGTGTTAATACAGTCTACATTACTCGAAAGTCTTACGTTTTTATTTCTCATACAATGAAACCTCGAACAAACATTTTGGCGTCTTCTACCTTCTAAACTTTTTCTCAGCGCCTACCCAATCTCTAGAAGGAAAAACCCCTGGTGACAAAGTTTTCCATTTGTGGGAGGTTCGAACGCTTATCAAGATTATTCTTTCGAACAATTCCAAATAAATCCTTAGTTAAAAAAATTAGTGCCTTTTTATATATCGACGCAGATCCACGGATTTTGCTAGTTTTAAGTTATTTCGTTAACTATGCAAGTTATCCGGCTTCTAAACGCGATGTAGGTTTGTTCGAAATACAAATGACCTAACCGATATATTTCATTTTGTTCTTGATTGTTGGACGGTTTGATTCCGTGCGCCAGCTATGATCAAAGCACGGAAATTTAAAAGACCCTTTGAAGATAAAAGTAACAATATTCGTCCCCCTTCAGTGTCATATATCTGTAAGAGAATTCAAACCGTACTTTCAAACTGTAGAATGACATTTTGTCGTGTTAACTTTGGAGTAGAGGAAGGAATGACACAGGGACCGACATCCTCTTGGTCTTTAAAGGACGGATGAAAAATACCGTAATACAGTAACAAGGACAGCAGACCTAACAAAAATAAGCCCCACCCAGCCATCAACATCATTACCCTGGAGAAATGCTTCCAGTCGCTATAGAAATACCACACCAACAACAAGATGGAGTTTTCGATGAACGTCACCAGATAATAAGGACCTCCCCACTTTCGTGTGCGTTTGCCCGCCAGAGGAAAGAAACAGAACACGCTTACGACAGTGAAAGCAAATCTGAGAAATTTGTCTTTCACGGATCCATCTTCGAAGTAATTATTTGGCTGTCCTCGTAAAAGCAAGTACGAGAAAAACAAATGGACACAAAGGACGGCATAAATCATGGCTTTGTACAGAGAAGCGTAAAGCACTAAAGCCAGGATTCGAGAGGCAACCATCGACAAACGCCAAGTGAAATGTAAAAGAGAGGCAAAGCTGAAAAGCTCCAATAATTGGCTATCTTGTTTTCCTAAGCGCAACATCCTGACAAAAGTGAGCAAATTAAAAGAGAAGAGACATAAAGACTTGATGATGGTCACTAAAATAAACCAATTTGCAAAAGATGTCCAGTCCAAGCTTGATTTCTGAACCAAGATGTACATCTGTAGGGCGACCTGAGGGAAGAAATTGTGGTTAGCTTTTATTTCTGACATTTTCTCCAAAAAGTGAGCCGTCTTTTCCAACAACCGCACAGATTATGATGGATTTCTTTGACTAAGGGAAGCACCTACTGGAACAAATTCAGATTGAATTTTGAAAATTAGCAAACTAAATCATTGGTGTTGCTTTACTTAGCTTTGTGATTGGTTCAAAACGCTCGCAACAACTACTAAACCAATCAGATGCAAAACTTAAGCCAAATACGACTTGTCATACATGTTTTCCGCGCATCAGGTTGGCTGCTTGTAGCTCGTTTGGGCTCTCAAGGGTGTTAAAAAAAAACTGAATAATAGTTTCTGTTCCCCCTTCTCGCGATTACCACATTTTGGTTTCAGGAATTTTGAACAAAAATCGCTGTTTCCCATTTCAAGGAAAATTATTTTAAATATCACGATTCACAACTTTCGCGAGGAGCAAAGCAATTAACGGAGAGAAAACCCTTCCCTGAGTTCAATTCCAAATGTCTCTCTTTCTTCCTCCTAG